TGAATAGATAGCAAGCAAAATATAGTCTTTATTATTCTAAGCTAAAAGAGGTAAAAAAATGTTTAAAAAAGAAAAAAAGCACCCTTTGGGGAAAATTTGCATACTAGTCAGACTTGGGTGCTCTGCAGTGGGTGGTTCCAGCTGAGAGGGAGCTCTATTCTTGGATGTCTGTGCTGAGGCAGAGTGGGGCGGAAATTGTTCACTGCTGCTTCAGGACCTCACAGTCATCTCTTTCAGTGGGGTTCACCTGTCAAGTCAATTTTCCCAAACCTGTGCAAAAGGCTCCCGTAATTAGAGGTGTCATCCCTATTCCTTGGCAAAGCTCAAAGCTGGGCTGTTTCTGTCAAGAAGATACTGAAACACAGTCTGTGTCTTCCACTAAGAGGAAGGTTTTCTTAAAATGAATGCTGGGGAATTCCTTCCGCCCTTCTTTCCTTCCTTCCTTCCTTTCTTTTCTTTATTTATTTTTCTTTCCCACTTCTTTTTTTTTTTTTTTTAACAAAAGTATGTTACAAGTGAACATATTTTCCTCAAGGTAAAACAGGTATCTTTTTTTCTTTGAGCAATAGCTTGAAGTACTGACTTTTTGGTCGTGTGGCTCTTAAACACAATCCAATCAACAGTAAGAATTTATTGTCTAATTACAAGCCAAGAGTCTTTGGGGCCTTTTTAAACATATTTTGTCCCTGAATAAACTCATAGCTTAAAAAACCAAAGAACAGTGAAGACACCAATCATAAGCCTTTCTTTCTAGTGTTTGGAACTCAGTCTTTAAGTTTTTTAAAAAATTAATCAGAATATCTGTATGTTTTAGAAAGTAGATTATTTTTAAGCATTAGTTTATGTTTTTATATTAAGGACTTCAGAGTTGCCTGTAGACCAACAATGTCTTGCTTTAATTATCTGAAACTCTGCTTGAGGATTAGTGTAATATATGTAAAAAGCATATTTAAAATGAGAATTCCCCCAAACAGCATTTTTATTAAGAACCTTTTACTGTTAGTCTTTTAATATCTGGATGATATAAGAAAAAAAATATGTTAAGAAAGCAAATGTGAATGTTCTCTAAATGATTCTAAATCCATGCCTATTAACTCATCCTTTTACCATTTGACATTTTAACACATTAACCTAAGAGAGTTAAAAGAAATGGATGCATTAAAGAAGGCATTGAATTTAATATATTAATATTAAAAGTGAATTTTTCTGAATCCAGAGGAAAACTCAGGCTAAATATAAAACTACCTTAAAGAAAACAAAATAAGGATCAAATGTGATGTTTGCACCTTAGAAAAATATGAAGATCCAGTGTTTATAAGATAGATATATTTTTACATGATTTTTCTATTTCAATATGTATAATTGCACTAAGATTTTTTTTTAAGATCACCGCTCTTTTTCAAAAAGATATTCCCTATGTGATTCTCCTAAATATGTATGTTAGTAAACATATATGACTCCAGAATGAAAATTGCTCTTAATAAACCGGAGACTAAGAAAAACTTGGAGAATTATGCTAAATCAATGATTCTCTGAACTTAGAGATTTTATATACCAATAATACCTCTGTCATTAAAAAGACAGAAAGCATATAGGCCCATGATAAAGAATAGCTTATTTTAAAAATCAAAGATATATACCTTCATGAAAACTACTTCTACATTAACAGATAAGGTACAATGAAAATCGATATCCTAACCAATGAGCCATCCCTGAGTCCACTATCTACAGCATTAAAGTCATATCTGATAGGAATTAAGCCTCCTTACATAAGAATGTACATGAAAGCTCACCTGACATCCCACAGAGCTTCATCGTGCTGCTGTTTGGTGTATTTTAAAATTACTTCCTGAGCATCCAGTTTTCAACATTGTAAGTTAGTTAAAACAAAGCTCCAAACATCTACATTGTTGTCCTCAAAAAGCAGAATAGAAATCAAAAGGATGAAGATTTATCTCTTTGATCCTGAGACAAGAAGTTGGATAACATCAAGTTTGCAAATTTTATAAACCTTATAGATTGTTCTCACAAATGAAATTTGCTATGTCAAAGATAAGATTTGTGTCCCAAGAGCCAGCTTTGACGGTGGACTTTAATTAATGTTTCAATAAAAATGTGGTATTTCAGTATGCCATGAAGTTTCATTTAATGAAAATTAATGTTCCAGACTGCTTTATGAGAACAGACTTTGGGTGGCACTTCCGTTCTTGGCTTTGCCAGCACCTCATAATTTACTCAACCAAGGCAGCTAAAGAATTGTCTAGATCTTGTCAGCACCAGATAGTTGACCACTATTCCCTTAAGTCTGCTAGACCTGGGCCTTGACCCCACTGAGAAGGAGTGTCTCTAACGCAGGCAAATGATGTTCCTGATTAGTGCCTGTGTGGCCCTTGCTGCAATGGCTGGAACAGACTGAAGATGGTCTTCTTTAGGGTTAAGGCCACATGGGGCCCCTAGGATGTTTGGCACAGCCCAGCTCTTGGGGACTTGGGTTCATCCCCATCGTGCAGAGGTAGTGTTCCCTTCAATGTAGAGGAACGAACCTGGTAACTGCAAACACGAAGATTTTGATCCCTCCTTGCAGTCTTCACACTGGCACCCTGCAAGTGTGAGACCCTGGAGCCCTTTGTTCTGCGTGGAGGAGGACATGCCTAAGTTCATGAAGCAAAACGTGGTAAGTTCCAGTCTGACATTTCTATTGAGTGTGGCCTATGATTGCCTTCCCTTCGTTTTAAATCATTCATGAGGAGGGAACTATCTAGGTTAATCCAAAATTAACAGGGAGCCCAACACTGTTCCCTTTCTGGCTGAGCCAATCACTCCCACATGTACATTTTCTGCTGAATGCACAGTTTCAAACTACACTGTAAGTCTTTTTATTTTCCCCCTGAAGTATGTAAGATTAATGCCATAGATCTCAGTTAGGTTAAAATTTTGATTTAAATATCTTGGTGACCACATTTCTGATACTACTTAATTGCTTGAGCACCTAAGAGAAAACAGAAAAATAAATACATACAGCTCAGATTTTAATTTTCCTCTACTCTACCCAACAGTACTCTATGTATAAATAAACTAAGAAAAAAATCTCCTTATTTCATATATCCCTAACCAGCGATTTATAATAATAAATGCTAACCCAAGAGGCTGAAAATATCACCTATTACTTCCATCAAACACATTTTTTTTGGCAAGAAATGCATGGCATTTAATATTAGTAACTATCAGTTAAAATATTTAAATTTTGAAAATAAAACTTTTAATTTAAAATTTTTTAAAAATGAGTAATTATATAAAGACTGAAGCAGTTTTCTCCCTACCCCCAGCATCCTATCCCCAAGTGACTTCATATATTTCAGGGCACATCAGTAATCATCTGGACATTCCCCTGCTGTTTTCCTTACTTAAAACAGTTGCTTGGTGGTCAATATATTTACATAGTTCATGTGTGCTGTGCTTTCAAGCATTGAGAGTTCAAATTTATTTCACATAAAAGCAAGAACCCAAAGTGCCAAAAGGTGATCATGGGCATGAACTGAACCCAGCAGATATAATATTTGCCTATGACTCAGTTTCACCATTTGTTTTCCCAGTTGTCACCTATTGGCAACATCTTAAACGTGGTACAGGCTACAGACTACTCAGAGAGGATATCGTTTTCCTGTTTTATTTCTATATATGTAATATAAGCCATAGGAGTGGAACCAGGTTCATTCATGCCCACAGAGTTCATGTGCTTATCTGGGCACTGCCTAAGTCACTGCTTACACCAATTCTCCAGCCTTCTGCACCTGTGGCATAGATGGAACCTGAGCACACAGATGGTCACTATCCAAGGACTGGAGGAGAAATCAAGAACTGGAGGTAACATCACGTCCATCCATGGTATACATTGTGACCAGACACATCCACAAACTACCAAATATTTCAGAAGTCAAAGGTGCCTTGCCTTAGAGGTTATAAAGTCTGTGCCCTCCTATAGGTGAAGCCAGGAAGGTCTGTGGAGAGGTGGGAACTGAGTTACAAGCCACACTGTCAGTGTCAGAATTGGGTCAGAAATCCAGCCACCATGAAGGCCAGTTCCAAGCTTTCACTCTCACTGCCTGCCTCACACTTGGTCCCCTTTCCTGGCCATCATGATATAACAAAAAATAGAAGGGAAGAGGGATTGCACAGAATGCTTATCATGGCTTTCTCATTTATATATTCATATGGTGTTTCTACAAGATCTTAATGTTCTTTTCCTCACAGTCTTCAAGATCAGATCTATTTATTATTCTTTAATGACTTTGTACAAAATATTTGTTCTTTTTAAGTAAAGTTATTATACCCATGTTTCATAAGATGCATATATATATAGACAGGACATTTTCAGCTTAGTCTCTTTTACTGTGATAATTTAC